AATTTCATGTTACATAAACATTATTAAAATTGTTATATTTATGTTTTAATAACTAAATATATTTAATAAAATAATATAAAAATAACAATGACTAAATAGTTTTAACACATTTGTTGGGTTTTCTTAGTAAGGGCAAGGATATACGTTAACATAAGGGGTTAATAATTTGTATGTATATGTTCACATCTTATTATATTCTAAATCTTCTGGTAATATAATAATAATATGAATTTTTTTTAAATGATTAAGTTTATGAATAGTTTTTTCAATAAATTAAATAATCAAAATTTTAAAAAATTGATTACTTACATCATTTTAATAATAATAAAAAAACTATATGTAATTAGTTGTCTTTTGATGGATAAAAAGTAGATCAAATAGAGGAGATCGATGACAGAGACCAACAACATGTTAGATGATACAGAGAACAGATATATGTAACATATTTTTAGAAGTTTGATGGGTTATTTAATAAAAAAAAATGTTTATAGACTTAATTATTTAAAATGAGAAAGTTTAATGGTTTTTTTCGTTTAAAAAAAAATAGTTCAGACACTTAATCATTTAAAAATAAGAAAATTTAATAAATTCTCATTCAAAAAAATAGTTTAAAAACTTGAGTTTATTTATTTACCTATTAATAGTTCCATTAAGAGGCAACCTCTAAATCGTTAAGAGGTGAATCTTGTTTGGAAAAAAAAGGTTTGCCTCTTAATGGTTCTAAAACCCTCTGAATGATTTTATATTATGGATCTCTCTTAACCATTAAGAACCATAATTTTATTGTACATAATTACCAAACAATTATATTTCATTTTGCACTATATCATGAAAACATCATAATCATTCTCACACTTAATCATTCTGCACCAAACCATTCAACAATTGCCAAACAATTACTAATCATTTAAAATAAGATAGTTTGTTGATTTTTGTTTAAACCTTTTTCTACGATGCCAAAGCTGTGGATTTCAGGAATAACTTTGCAAAGAAAATACCAAAGCTGTGGATTTCTTGTAAATTTTGAACGTTGAAAATGCCAAAACCCGGAGACTCCGGGGTGCACAGTTTTGTGAAAAGAGAACTACGTCAATGCCGGCAATCTACCCATTTTCAAGTTCAAGTCGGAACGTGTCCAAATCCCACATATATTAATACACTTTCTACCCATTTTCACCCGAAATCTTGTTTCTCCGTCAACTATATGCACGTCCCACCACGTTGTTGCTAGCCGGAGAATGGTCGGAGGGAAACTTTTCGTCGCCGTAGCTATTGTTGTAGTACTGCAGCTGCTGCTTCATTCGCCGGAATTCGTACAGTGCCAAGTTATCGGAGACGAATTCGCCGGTCAGATCAACGATACTGCGTTCCTCCCGTTCATTACTCAGAGAGTATATAGCAGTCTTACCAATCTCACTTCCACGATTCTTGATAGCGATGTTGGGGAACAATCCTCCTTCTGCGTTAAAAATCGGTAAGCAAGTTGTGTTTATTTTCATAGAATCTTTACCATAATGCTAGAAAATTTAGGGGGTGGCAATTAATCGGATCAGGGTTCTTTTGATCTTCATGAGAGAGACGCATTTTTTTCAATTTTGGGGTAAACATTGCTTTATTTTTTGGAAAAGGGAAAGGAAAACTGCAGTGGAAGATGTGATTTCTAGATGTCAAACATGGATATTTTTGAAGAAATTAACAAAGAGGTTTTCACTTGGATTTTGGTTATTTTTCAAATTCAAGATTGATATGGAACCATATCAAACTTCACAAAGTATATAACAAAGTGATGTTGGTATTAGATTTGCGAAAAATTGCCAATGGATTTTGCATTTTGAAAAATACCCATTTTGAATTTAGAAGTTAGAGTAGTCAATGATCTATTTGAAGTGAAAAGTCAAGATCAAGATTTTCTTTGGAACGAAGGTCATGAATATTCTTTGTATATTGGATGAATTTGATTCGATCATCCAAAATTCTTATGTTGTTAACAGGGAAACCAAGTGGGATTGAGCTTGTAATTATTCTTCTAATTTGGACTTCTTATGCTGTTAACAGGGAAGTAGAGTGGGATAAAGCTTTTAATTATTCTTCTAATTTGGACTTCTTGACTTCTTGCATTCAGAAAACTAACGGTATGGATCGACTCCAATCCTTTAGAAACTACTAAGAGAACTTGTATAATATCTGGTTAACATGAGTTTCTGTCATCGTTACTGCTGAAGGTTGAAACCTTCTGTTATAGTAGTTTCTAACAACTCATTTCTAAATGGGATTCTGATTATTTAACAGGAGATGTTACGCAGCGCTTGTGTACATCAGCGGAGTTAAAGTTCTACTTTGAAGGCTTCTTTCTGGGTAACAGTTATGAGAGGCCTAACAGGAACTGTAATCTAACGTCCACGGTTTCTGGTTGTGAGCCAGGATGGGCGTGTGCCACTTTGTCAACTGATGATGTTAACATGAGAGATTCGCGTAATATACCTGCTAGAACTCTCAACTGTCAGCCTTGTTGTGAGGGTTTCTTCTGCCCGAAAGGTCTTACTTGCATGATACGTAAGTAATTGAAACTTGTTTGAATACTTGTGTGTGTATATACACATATATTGAGATATATATACACACACACACATATATTGGTATATATATATATATATCGATGATTGCATGCCGCCTTTACCATGGACCTTCTGATCCACTAATGTCTGCAATTAGCAATCATGAGTTTTTGATGGCTAGTTTTATTCACAGACACTATCTCAACTGATTTCTGGATATTATTTATGTTATAGCCTGCCCATTGGGTTCACACTGCCCATCTGCAACTCTTGACAGAGCTAGCGGCATATGTAGACCGTAAGTTTTAGTGCCTTCGTAAAAAGCTCTTCCCACTCTTGTTTTACACATTATGTTTTGTGAGCAGCTTATTTATTAACGGTTTACTTGCAGATATTCTTACCAACTGCCTGCCGGACGGCCTAATCATACTTGTGGGGGAGCAAACATATGGGCAGATCTTCGCACTAGTCGCGAGCTTTTCTGTTCATCAGGGTCATATTGTCCATCAAGTACACAACAATTGCCTTGCAGCAGTGGGTATAAATCTATGTCCCCAAGCTTTTCTAGTGCCCTTTATTATTCTAGATGAGGGTCTCATCTGAAAAATATAATTTCAAATACTGATCCCTGAATCTTGCGATTTCAGGCATTACTGTTCAACAGGCTCTACATCTGAGAAACGTAAGTGACTCATTGGCGTGAGTTAAATGGTGCAATAGTTGAGAAAATACTGTATTTCCAAAGCCAAGAAAGAATGCATCCAGCCATCAATATGCTCTATATTTTTGTTGATTATGAAAAATCTGACCCTTATTGTCATTACTTGCAGCATGCTTCAAGTTGACCTCATGTGATAGCCACAGTTCAACTCAAAATATTCATGCATATGGGGCAATGCTTATAGTAAGCTTTCCATTTATGCTCAAACAGTTTATTGGTTATTTTTGGTCTGAATCCGATGGCACCAATTTATGATCTTCTCTCCATTTTTGCATAAATCTTGCGTTTAATGAGATGGGCGAATAAATAGATATCTAATGTTCGAATACTCCACTATCTAGGCTGCCATATTTACTATTCTGATCATCATCTACAACTGCTCTGACCAAATAATTACAACTCGGGAGAGAAGGCATGCTAAATCTAGGGAAGCAGCTTCAAGACGTGCAAAAGAGAAAGTGAAGGCACATGAAAGGTGGAAAATGGCAAGAGAAGCTGCTAAGAAGCATGCAGCTCAAATATCTCGTACATTTTCTCGTAAAAAGGCTGCTCCACAAGATGAGGAGCTTTCAATATTGAGTGAAAGTAGAGCGGATATGAGGGAGAATCCAGTTACTTCAAATGTGTCCCATTCATCATCCCCTGCGTTGGAAGACAGCAGATTGGAGCTCAGAAGTCAAACATATGCTAGAGATGGGATCGAAGAGGATCTTTATAGTTATGATACCAGTATGGAAAATAAAGATACACATGATAAAAAGAAAATGCCGAAAGAAAAAGAAATCCATACTCATAGCCAAATCTTTAATTATGCTTATGGTCAGATTGAGAAAGAAAAGGCCATGCAACAGAATCAGAACCTTACTTTCTCTGGAGTAATCTCAATGGCGGTTAATACTGAGGTCAGAAAAAGACCCAAAATTGAGATTTCTTTCCGAGATCTGACTCTTACTTTGAAAGGAAAAGGGAAACATCTTTTGAGGTGTGTTACTGGGAAAATCATGCCTGGCCGAATAACTGCGGTCATGGGTCCATCTGGGGCGGGTAAGACGACATTTCTTTCTGCATTGGCGGGCAAAGCACATGGATGCAGGATAACTGGTTCGATTCTTGTAAATGGGAAACCAGACTCAATCCATTCGTATAAAAAGATCATCGGTTTTGTGCCACAAGATGATATTGTCCATGGAAATTTGACCGTGGAGGAGAATCTCTGGTTCAGTGCAAAGTGCAGGTATGCCAAGATATATTTGCAAATTTTAACTGATATGTTCTTCCATTCCGATTCCTCATTAGTTTCCCACCTGCAGTATCGAATTCAGAAGGGGTTCCACATATCCTAACACCTACACTATGCTAAAATTGGCTTCCGCCCTGAAATTAAAGAAAATAAGTTGAAAATTGGTTGCACCGATAAGTAGAAAAGTTTTTTAACGTTCCTTTTTCAAAAAAGTGTAGGTTATCAGCAAACATGCTTAAACAAGACAGGGTTCTAGTTGTTGAGAGAGTTATAGAGTCGTTGGGTTTGCAAGCAGTGAGAAGTTCCTTGGTTGGAACTGTAGAAAAGCGTGGAATCTCTGGAGGCCAGAGGAAACGAGTAAATGTTGGTGTGGAAATGGTAATGGAACCATCGCTTTTGATCTTAGACGAACCAACATCCGGTTTGGATAGTTCATCTTCTCAACTACTTCTTAGAGCACTTCGAAGGGAGACTCTCGAAGGGGTGAACGTTAGCATGGTTGTTCACCAACCAAGGTAATTACTCCCTGTGTCTCAGAATAACTGTCCACATTTCTATTATAGTTTTCCCCAAAATAAGTGTAGTGTTTCCAATCCTACCCTTAATCATGACATGGAGAAATTCATACTCCCTCTGTTATTAAGGGTAAAGTTGTCATTTAGTTAATTAAAAGTGTAACAATTACATATTTTCTAAAACTGTGTGCCTTTTTCATTGTGGACATAAGTTTTCTAGTTAGTTCAAGATTTTCATATTGATCTTTAGTTCCATTTTGTTTCAGTTACTCCTTGTTCCAGATGTTCGACGATTTGATACTTCTAGCTAAAGGTGGACTTACGGTTTATCATGGATCAGTAAGGAAAGTTGAAGAATACTTTTCAGGTCTCGGAATCACTGTTCCAGATCGTGTTAATCCTCCAGATTATTTTATAGATGTTTTGGAAGGAATGGTTAAACCAAGCACAAGTTCGGGTGTAAATTTTGAACAGCTTCCCGTTAGATGGATGATTCATAAGGGTTATCCTGTTCCCCCTGATATGCGTAGAAATGCTGGTGGACTTGATATCTTCCCAGAAGGTCGACTTTCAGGTAATGAACTAAATGACACCGAGAGCACAGCAGAGGATCATTCGTTTGCTGCTGAAATTTGGCAGGATGTGAAGTCGGATGTGGAACTCCGAAGAGATATCATACGCCATAATTTCTTGCCAACAAAGGACTTGTCCAACCGCAAGACTCCAGGAATTCTCATGCAGTACCGATACTTCATTGGAAGGTAGCTCTTTGACCCTAAACCCTAAACCCTGCATGCATTCATCGTTATTGATGGTTCTTTTTCTGATGCCAATACTTTCTCAGGGTTGCTAAGCAGCGGTTACGAGAATCCAAGCTACAGTTAGTAGACTATCTCATCTTGTTACTTGCTGGTGCATGCTTGGGATCCATTATTAAATCGAGCGAAGAGACTTTTGGGGCACCTGGCTACACTTACTCCATTATTGCAGTATGTAAGTAACTAAAGAACTGCTTTTGGCTATCTGGGTATTCACAGAAACAATCGCTCTACCCTTTGGGGTTAGAGGCCAGGACTGCATACATCCCACCCCTCCCAGACCCTGCTTTCACGCAGGATATACTGGGTTTTACTTGGTTAGGTGTGGCTTGGTTTAACCATAGTGATTCAAGAAAATGTTAGCTTATGATACTTTAATCATGGTTTTCAGCTTTGTTATGCAAAGTTTCGGCTTTGAGAACATTTTCTTTGGACAAGTTACAATATTGGAGGGAGCGTGCATCCGGGATCAGCAGCCTAGCTCATTTTCTTGCCAAAGATACCATCGATCATTTCAATACCGTGATAAAACCAGCGGTTTATCTCTCCATGTTCTACTTCTTCAGCTACCCCAGATCTTCCTTTGCCGAAAATTACACCGTCTTGCTCTGCCTTGTGTACTGTGTGACTGGCATAGGGTACATGTTGGCCATATTTCTTGCTCCTGGTCCATCACAGCTGGTGAGTTATATAACTAGCAGGAAGCTCATCAATAAAAACTTTGCTTTTTTGAAGTATGTATATATGTATATATATTTTATTTATACACGGCAAAATTCACACGCTCTCCTCACATTTGACGAGGTTTGAACTCTTGACCTTCAATAAGGCCGAGATCTACTGGTAACTCGGATACTGCCGTGTCAATGACCCTTTGGTTAAGCATTTTGCATTTGTACTCATTTGATTGAAACTTGTTGCAGTTCGCGGTGCTCATTCCTGTAGTTTTGACTCTCGTGTCGACCCAGACCCAAAATAGTGAATTCCTGGAGCATATTTCGAACGTGTGCTACCCTAAGTGGGCTCTGGAAGCATTTGTGATTGCAAATGCAAACAGGTACAACCATCCGATATCCTATATATCAAATAATATGATCTAAAATAAAGGGTAGATGTTTAGTTATCTGGAACTGGAAGTGTTCTCAGTAATAAAGCATAATTTATATCAAATTAGTACAGGAAAGGTCTGCCTACATCTTACCCTCCTCTGAATGTACTGTGTGGGATTTACTGAGTTTGTATGGTTCGGGTATTCAGGACCCACATTCATATCTTCATTTCTCCGGTCATCATATAAATAGAATCCATATAATCAAAATATATTTTATGGACCAAAAGAAACAAGACTTCTTGATTCTTTTCTATACCTGTTTTAGGCTTTATTTGTTCATCTATTGCCTGCTTCACATCAAACTACTTTGCAAGATATTTCCATTATTGAGATTGACAGTTTAAGCAAATTAGCAGTCGTTCCATTAATCAGTTTTGCGTTACATTGATCAACTTGGTTCACTGCAGGTATTCGGGAGTGTGGCTGATAACTCGCTGTGGCTCACTTCTTAGATTCGGCTACAACGTACATGATTGGGGTCTATGTATATTCGTCCTCATCCTTATTGGTGTCCTTAGCCGCATTTCTGCATTCTTTGGCATGCTCATCGTCCATAAGAGGTGAGTCCAAAACTATCCATGCTACAAAAACCACAGCATGGAGTACCGTTGAGTGAGGTGTACTGAGTTCGTTTGATTTAGAGGTATTTACAAATTTACAGAGGCACGTTATGTTGTATCATCAAAGCATAGTGATATTAGTATACGGTTAGCAATGGTAGAAGTAAATTTTGTTTTAGTATTTCATTCATTTTCTTACGTCTCTGAACGAAATCGGAAGCCATATTTGGTTTCTATGTATGTTGTAACATGTAGTTTGTATGCATTATAAAAGATGTGTATATACAAGTGAGCATATATGGTATTTATGTAATTAACGAAACATATTACAACTTTGAAGGGAAAAAAAAGTAAAAATGTATTACAACTCTTATAAAAAAAACCATTTTCGAAAAGGATTATCGAGTTTTTTTGTTTGAAATGTCTTGTCACAAACACAAAAATGAAAGCTTTTGAAAATAATGTGGAGTTTGTTTTATAAAAGGTGCTGAAGTATGAACTCTTGCTTTATTTTTGATTGATAAAAGGTGGTTTTACAAATGAATATATAAAAATGATATATTTTATGACAATTTATAATCAATCAAAAAAAATACCTTTCATTTCATACTATAAACTGAACCTATTAGACGGTTCGTTTGATCTACTCCGAGCTGACATGGTCCTTTAAAAAATGCTAGGTTACTTGCACAATGTAGTGAGATACATCTTGATTTTAATATTTCATTTTATTTTTTATCTCAGTCGATGTTATAATATGATCTTATGTGATTTTGAAAAAGCGATAAATGTTTTTATTTCTGAATAAAACATAAGTTTGAAGATATCGTAAAATTTTGACAAAAATATATTGATATTAGTATCAAATTAACTATTTAAAATTTATCATTTTTTTGTGTAATTTTTTAATTCAATTTTTTTATAATTTAATTTAGGTACAATAACGAAGTAATTTATATTTGGTTTAATAATATAATTTTCTTATAAAGATAATAGTTATTTATTTTGTTAAGACTGGATAATTATTCTAATTATATTTTAGATTTTTTATATTTTAAAATGAGATGTTTATCCTCTATTTGATTATATTTATCCGCAGTTAGTTATACGAATTCAAAAATCGAGCTTTAATAAGTTGTACTTATGCATAATTTATTTGTAATCCTGAATATTAAATAATATGCATCAATATACAGTACTTTATGCATAACAAAATTATATTGATATTCGTATCAAATTAACTATTTAAAATTTCTATTTTTTGTGTAATTTTTTAATTCAATTTTTTATTATAATTTAATTTAAGTACAATAACGAATTAATTTATATTTGGTTTAATAATATAATTTTTTTATAAAAATAATAATTAATTATTTTGTTAGGACTTGATAATTATCCTAATTATATTTTAGATTTTTTATATTTTAAAATAAGATGTTTATCATCTATTTGATTATGTTTATCTGCAATTAGTTATATGAATTGAAACATCGAGCTTTAATAAGTTGTACTTTTGCATAATTTACTTGTAATATTGAATTTTAAGTAAATATTGGTTTTATGTGGTTTTGATAAAGTGATAATGTTTTTATTTTTGAATAAAATATAAATTTAAAAATATCATAAAATTTTGAAAAAAGAAATATCGATATCAGTATTAAATTAATCTTTTTAAAAGTTATTGTGTTTTGGTGTAATTTCCTTAATTAAACTTTTTAATTATAATTTAATTTAGGTTTAGTAATAAAGAAATTTAATTTAGATTTAATAATATAACTTTTTATAAAGATAATAACTAAATATTCTGTTAGTTATCAATGATTATCCAAATTATATTTTAGATGCATCTCGTTGCATTGTACAAATACTCTTCTAGTTATTTTAAAATATGAATTTTGTTTTTGTAAATCCATTTGAAACTACATCCATCCAAAAACCTCATATGAGATTTATAAACGGATGAAATTACATAATATCATTCATCAAATCTAACTTCTTATCTACAAAATTAATTTCCAACATCTTGTGTTGGATTATTTACTATTTGCAGTTTCAAGTAATGTTTAAATAATTAATTGATTTCATTTATGATTGTAATATTATTTAGAGTGAAATATTCCATTCTAAATAATTATTTTGATTTGACAAATAATTTAATATTTTTATTTACTTCTTACAACTGATCATGATTCTAATTTTTATGGGGTTTGGTAGCTTTTGTAACAAATTATTAAAAAAATTAAAAACAAAATACATTTGCTTAACTATTGACTCAAATGATCATTTCATACATCCAAATATGTTTCCTAACCATTTCTTTATCGGGTTAACCCAAATGTCACTACTTCTACAATATTCATGTCTGCAATATTGCAAATCTTTATAAAAGACAAAAAGAAATCAAATCCAACAAGTTTTACCATTGCAATTAAGGATGTGACCATCACAAATGCATGTTTGTATTGGGTTTGAATTTTTTTTTTTTTTTTTTTTTGCCCTTAGCTAAATCTGTAATATTGCGAAATTCAAAAGAGAAATGATTAAAAGACCAATTTAAATGTTCCAGAAAAACTTAGCCACCATCAAGCATTGTGTGAAATTCCAGAAGTGGACAACAAATCCAATCACACATGTGTTCATATATTTTTCTACTTTTGGTAAAACCTCTATATCAAATAAAATGGAAGCTTGGTCCAAACTTACATGTCAAATACATACAAAAATCTACTATTTCGTCTCATGCTATGTTGTTGGTAAATAGCATCTGATTTCTTGAATTAAATGGGGTTGTGCGACAATTCATACTACATATGTAGACATGGTTCATCTCTCTACATACATCACCATCACCCACCAATTCAAATTCATTATGTTCATATTAGTACTCAGGAGCAAAATCTGACATCAAAAAATTTGTTGTTGGAGTGTCTTGTACCTGCATTTTATAGCTCCAACTGTAACCACTCCTAAGATGGTTTCGATCTTCAACTTCTTCAATTGTCTTAGAAGTATTAAAAATAAAGAGGCCTGTAAACACTACTATGTTGGTAAGATAAACATTGAAGCACAAAAAGAAAGTTTGCACGCAACTACTATGTTGTTTTTTCAAGAATTGGGGAACATAAAGTTTGTGTAAGAAAACCGTCGAAGAAAAACACAAAATGGAAGAGACAAATCAAAAACTACAGAAGAAAAAAAAACTTTTTCAAAGAGAGATGTCAAACCTGGAGATGGATGAAGAAAACCAAATCGGTGAATTCAAGCATTACAAACCAAAGAAACAACAATCAATCAAAATAATTCACCAAAGAAACATAAACAGAAGCTCTGTTTTTTCACTTCTCTCACATTCTCTTTTTGCTTTTTTTATGAAACCTCTAGCCAAACAATAGACTAATGTTCAGAGGACTCGACCTTAAATAGGAGAATTAGGGGGGTGATATGCTTGCCCCTAGGCATTGATGGTCTGTTTACCTCATTATAGTTTCTAATGGTTTATGTTGAATTGAAAAGAAGATGAAGATAGTTTGGCCTTGAACCACCAATCACACTATAGTCTGCTTTGTCCTGCCTTATGGCACCACCATGAACAAACATGATGTATAGATATTGATCGAGACTTGTTCAATACCAAAAACAACCAAATATTTGAAATTTAACTACCAACCTGATCCAATATTTGACTAATCATCAGAATCCAAAAATGGGCGAGCCTCAACCTGCAACTACGAGGGACAATGTTCATCCACTACGAGAATCACAAAATAAAGGTAGATAAGACTATCAGAAATTTCACAGATGCAAATAACTTTCAGCGCTCAGAGATGTTTTTACACAGAACAAATAGGCTGGTTGTGGAATCAGGATACGATGAGATCTTGAACTACGGTGTATGGCTTAAAATCTTTGTCACTTTTGTTTTGTAAAGGAAAACCTTCAGATAATGCAAATCCTACTAGCTCATAAATGCAGAAAAAGCCCATTTATTAATTAAGCTCATTAAGCACCAAGTAAACACACCCAAAGACATATATAAGGTGCAATTCACTCTAAATCACATTATAACCCCATTTTCCATTTTACAATGGATTTATCTATGACCTGTTTTTCTTTCTAGTTACTTCTTTTGCCTGTTTTTCATTGGCAATATTAAAGATTTTTTACAATGACATTGAAATCAACACACCAAAAGATAACAATCTGAATCTCAATCTCAAGCAGAAGATTACGTTTTGTTCCACCGTTATCTCAATCTCAACTCTACATTTTCTGTCACATATCATCCTAAGCATCATAATTTGAGACTGGCCAATGTGGCATGTTAAACTTGACAAATTTAACAACCATAAATTTCAAATCTAGTTCATGAAACATTTTCAAAGTGCCTATTTGAAGTGTAAAGCGTCCACAGATATACAGGCTATAAACTAAGAAAGTGAAGCTCGAAACACAATCATACATCTTGCTCATATACTCACAGATTCAACAAATGATACCTCCTCAAGATACACCCATGGATGCGGCACTTGTCTTTCATCGAGTTGGAACGCTAGTTCAACATAAAGAGACGATAATCAACTGAAAACAAACAAAATAACTCGGTTAAGTCAGTGTGAAAACATAGTTGATGCTTACACTGCCGGACATTGATGGGATGATAGCAAAATTGGGCACAAAAAAATTTGGACCATTTCTCGATTTGTGCGTGTCATCCTTGTGCAGGGGCCATGCTAATCTTCTCTGTATCGTTCCAATTTTTTATCAAATGTCCCCGAAGGGACGACTATAAGTGGTGAGCTCTAGTATATAAAGTAACCAGAAGTTGTACTTCTGGTCGGTGTGGGACGAGCTAACTTCAATCTAATCAGACGTCTCAAAAACGAGTACTTTTTAATCTTAAGTAAGCCAACAAATTATCAACCTACTGGTTTTTTTAATCAAATAAATAAATTAGCATGTTTCATGCTTTAATTTTCATTTTCATTTTCCATTTGTGTACAAATTTAAGATTGCTTTCTATGAACAAAACCAATTTAAAAACATCATCGAAGCAACACAATTATCATAAAACCATTTTGTTAAAAGAAATTATGTTGATATTATGAATGATCGTAATACAATAACATTACAACTTAGATGTATCTAGCACCAAGGAATATGAAATACCAAACAAGAACTTGGAACTGAAACCGTATTCGAATTTTGCCAATGCAAACAATCAAAGATACAAATAACTGAATGTAAGAGAGATTAAGGGAAACAGAAAAATATACTTGTAGCCATTAAGATCACACAAGGAAAGGTCATATATCATACAGAAGACATCATTAATTTGTTATTGCTATTTCTTTTTTGATCTGATACATCTCCAAGACCTTCAGTTAACATAATCATAACCAGAAAAAGGATCTAATTGATTAAGTGCAAGAAACTGAAGTTGGAACAAAAGAATTTGGACGATTTATGTTTTGGCCTTGCACAATCTTATCTGTATTGTTCCAATTCTATTTGGAATCAAAGGTTGAAGAAAAGGAAGCAAAGATCACAAAAATGGTTGAAGAAATCAACAGCAAGATCCACATGTTGTATCATAGCCATAGCCATTGCTTAGAATCATCATTATTACTATATTTTCTGTCTTTAAACTTCACAAATTTGGCAACCATAATTTCAAATCTAGTTCATGAAATATTTTGGAAAAGCCCTAACTGAAGTAGAAAGGGTACATAGATATATAATCTATAAACTAAGAAAGCGAAGTTCAAAACGCAATCAGATTCAAACAGACGTTTGAAAGGCCAAGTTTTAATGTTTACCTCCTCAAATACGCCCATGGCTGCGGCACCGTTCTTTCATCTAGTTGGAGCCCTAATTCAACATAAGGAGACGATAATCAACCGGAAGGAAGTCAAATAAGGTCAGCGACGACGACGTACTCCGCAGATTACACCGGCGACCGTTGGTGAATTGGCCAAGAGGGTTTTGGGGAAGACGATGATAGGAAAATTGGGCAGAAAAAAATTTGGACCATTTCTCGATTTGTGCGTGTCATCCTTGCGCAGGGGCCATGCTAATCTTCTCTGTATCGTTCCAATTTTATTGGATGTCCCCGAAGGGACGGTTGTAGATGGTGAACTCCGACATATAAAGCAACCAGAAGTTGTTCTTCTAGTCGGTGTGGGTTGAGATGACTTCAAACCCAACTCAATCCACTATTTATGGTTTTTTATTTTCAGCAATCAAATCAAACGCTTCGGAAATTTGTATGGTAAATTTATTAAAATAGTTTTCAAATTTATCAAAAATAGCCATAAATTTGCAAAATCTATGTTGACAATTGCGGATCCGGTTAAAAACCAAAAAATTATATACTTTTTCACACTGTCTGCAAAAATAAGTTATATTTTTCATCCAGATCCGTAAAAAAAACATTGCGAACCTAGAGCTATTTTAATAAACCTTATAAAAAAAGTGGTTAATAGATGAAAACAACCGGTAAAAATGATTATTTTAATTAATTTTTTAATTTGTATTTTTAATTGAATCAGTAAATTATTATCCTACTGGTTTTTTTATTAAACAAATAAATTAACATTTTCAAGCTTTAAATTATCTATTTTATGATTAAATAAAAAGAGTAATATTTTCTTACTAAAGTGAATGTAACAATATTTGTTTCAAATGACATGAAGATAAGTTCTAAAATATTGATTGTAAAAAATCGTATGTTAAATAAAATGTTGTATTTATTCCTAATTATTATTTGGTAACCAATTTTTGTTGGATTAAGGGGCTGTTTGGCAATTGTTGAATGGTTTGGTGTAGAATAATTAAGTGGCCATAACGATTAAGAGGCTCTCATAATATAAAACAAAATGAAATATAATTGTTTGGTAATTGTGTACAATGGAATTAAGGCTCTCAATGGTTAAGGGAGATCTATAATACAAAATCATTCAGAGGGTTTTATAATCATTAAGAGGCAAGACTTTTTTTTTGTCAAACAAGATTCACCTCTTAACGATTCAGATGTTGCCTCTTAATAAAACTATTAATAGGTAAACAAACAACCCCTAAATTACGAAATCCTAATTTATTGTCCCATATACTTGAATTAAACATAAAAATTGGATTATAATATCAACAGCTCAAATTTAAATCTACAATTATATAGTGAAATTACCGTGGTAGTATTTTTGCAACCAAGTTAAATATTTTAATGAATTCTTGTTATAACGTTCGAATTCAAACCATATTTTGTTGGAGCTCTGGATTATATATCAAAAAACAAATTTAAAATTTAAAAAGTATATTACAATTCACGTCGATATGGTTCACGGGTTTTTAAATTTTGTCGCCACAAATCATTTATTACAAAAAAAAAACATTTTTTAAGGTAAAAGTCTTATTTTGTTGTGTTTTTTTTTTTTTTTTTTTGTTAAGTTCTCTTTACGATGTATCCTTGAATAAAAGAATTTTGATCATTCTTCTCTTGATTTAATTTTGTGATTTTTTTTTCTTTCTTCCTTCACCAAAAAGTTCAAGACAAAAACCCGTGTAAGGCTCACTTAATAGGGACAGGGGTTGCACAAACTCCCGACACGATGACTATCCAACTCAATTCGAAAATAGGTTGACAAACTCAATAAATATTTAACTGAAACCAATTGTGTTAACCGAGCCTGATGAAACCCGCAAGTTATCATATCATAATTACGTAGTAGCCTCTTTTACAGTAAAGTCGGTTTTTTGTATATATAGTTAGTCACTGATTCATGCATTAGTATTATGTACATTTAAAAGGTAAATGTTTGGTTTCAGTATATACCGATATTCTTATTAATTACTGTCTTAGTAAGATTTTTTGAATGAACTCTTTAAATAGTATATGACAAAAGTGATCAGTGTATCCTTAAAAAAAAGTGATCAAATAAACCATATTGGAAAATTAACACGAGGCTACTATGTAAAAACCTCAAGAATCTTCCGGATTCGAATCTTTGACCTTGAATGGGTGTGAATGTTTGAATCCGAATATTTATAAAAAGTGTTTGGATTAGCTTATGGTGGTACCGAGTAGCATTTGCAAGTAGCCTCATGTAAAAACCTCAAGAATCTTCGAATCTTTGACCATGAATGGATGTAAAAACCTCAAGAATCTTCCAAGTAGCATTTGCCACTTGAGATCAATTGGCAATCCATATCTTAAAGGCTGCTTAAATATGGAAAATTGCCAGATCAATTGGGTGGTTGGAAGGGCTTGAAAATATATGCCAGTGGAAGCAGGATCAAAGAGTTACCTGATTCAATCGACAATCTGTGCGAATTAAGAAGTCTGTTTTTTATCGATTGTTGTAGCCTCAAAAGTCTTCCGAGCAGTATCTGCAAATAGAAGTTACTCGGGTTTCTACATCTCACCAAATGTTCAAATCTAGAAGAATTGCCTGAGCAACTAGGAGAAATTGAAGATTCGTGTTAGTGGAACTAGTATTACAAGATTACCTGATTCTAACCAACAGATACCTTATATATTTAATGCTTTGAATTGCCATTTTTTCTTAAGTAATGCAACAAAGTTTCAAAATTTCCTATTTAATGTAACAAAGTTTTTAGATTTCCTAATTTTAAACGTTAACATGTTGATCTTGTAACATTTAATGACATGGATATCAAGTTTATCGTCCACTTTGCCATAAGCCTTTCATAAATAGATATTCACGTCATAAAATATTACAAGATCAATAAGTTATCGATTAAAATTAGTATAATTTGTTACATCTATCGAGGAAATAAGTTTTTCGTTACACTAAAAAGGAACTAAACCAAATTTTGTTGCATTTTGGCTTTTTTGAACAGGAATACACCGGAGGCCTATGTGATTGTAAGTTCTACTTTTCCCGGAGGGTCGTCCCAGACTGGTTTGAATTTCATGGAGCAGGGAAGAATTCCACACCTTTTTTGTTTGATACACCTTTGGATGTCGAAGTTGGTTTTTTACAACTGTTTATTTGGGTAGATTATATTTTTGGAGATTACGATGATCGGTTCGTCTCATTTGAATTGAAAGAAGATATGAATATGGAGGTGAAATGCGGAGTTCGTCCATCGTCCATCGATACCAACAACATAAATCAACATTACTATTTATTATTTAAAAGTATATTCTTGTAATAAAGAAAATGAAAATACAATACTGTAACCAAAGGTCTTTGGCTTCTTATGAGGTCAGGAGTTTAAATATCATCAAAAGTGAGAAGGATGTGTGAGTTTATTTGTTTTATTTGTCATATATAAATATTTTATACTTTCAAAAAAAGAAAATACAATGTGTAACACCACACTAAAACGGAAGCTAATTTCACCAGGTAATATTAGATTCAATATACAACTCTAAAACAAAACGGGATACAAAGTTATTCACCAAAAGAGATAAGTATCGTTGATGAAGGGGCATATAACTACCCTTACATACTATATATATATATATATATATATAAAAATAACATGTACATAAACAAAAAAATACCCAAAATACGAGCTTTAAATAGCGACCAACTTCTTCAAGCTCGACATTCCTACATTAGACCTTTACTCCTTTTCTATCTTTCCTGTAAAAGAAAATCAACATCTAAGAGGTTAAGCATAAAGCTTAGTGAATTCATAGGGAAACATTTGAATATTATGATATATATACATACACATACACAAAGGAATCCCATGAACGAACTCAAGTAAAATATGTGTATACAAAGGCTTTCCAACGTCAATAAACTCATGAATCAATATTCTTCAAGGTAACAAAAACTGATTATGGCGATTTCAACATTTCGTATGTCGAAGATATCATAAGATCATGTTACATTAAGTAAATAATTAACATAACAACCACTAAGGCTTAATGTTCCAGCCACTAAGGCATAATGTTCCAGCCATTAAGGCATAATATCCAGCCACTAAGGCATATTAGAAAAGTATATATATACACATATGCACGCATAGTATACAAAATGTTCTCGAATGAACTCACATTGCTACTCAATACTCCAAGCTATGAGCAATTTCCAAAATGGTATAAATGAACCACCACAAGCTTTTAATACCTTCAATTATAACCCTTCAAAAATCTTCACATAAACATCAAGAATTCATCTTTTTGAGCTTTGATTCTTCAAGAATTGAATACATTTAGGCTTAAGTGTGTGAAATCGCACCTAGTGTGTGTGGGAGAGTTTTAGAAGTGATTTGGGAAAAAAAAGAAACTAATTTTCGTCCATTAATCACTTAAACCCGAGTTGGGCCGAATTTTGCCCGGTTGAGGCCCATTTGACTACCAAACACTAAAAAAATCATAACTTTTTGCTCGGACCTCCGTTTTCGATGAGGTTTTTTCCTATGTGATCGTAATAAGATAATCTATAACTTTCAATTAAAAAAAAATTCAGAAAAGATCTTCCAATAAAGCAGTTTTTTACGTGTGTTACAATTACCTCCTCCTTTTGGGGATTTCGTACTCGAAATCACGACGACTCGAATAATGCCGGATACTTAGCCTTCATTTCATTCTTGTTCTCCCACGTCCAATTTGGTCCACGGTGATGCTTCCACTTTACTAGCACCAAATCCACGACCTTGTTTCGTAAGTTCACCGATCTCTCATTCAATATTG